CTGAAACACATATGTAGCCTCACAGCAGGAGGAACAGAAAATAAAGGAAAGAGAACTAGCCAGCTCAAAAAGGAGTTAGGTAGCAATACTTGTCCATATTTAGCCAACAGTACATCTGGTTTATATGTAATTTTTGCTTGCATTTTATAGAACCATATCTTACCACAACAATAAGCAAAATGAGGCCTCCTAAAATTTTTGGACTACATCGCCCATCAGGCACAATCTTATGAGCAACTGTCAGAGATTGCAGTAGACCTAATTCAACACACTTACAGGCTATTGGACTAGCTATATTTGTGGCTGCCTTATTTAGTCTGCCTGTCCATCTGAGAAAATTAAATATGATACTGGCCTTTCACACCTGAAATATTTTTTTTTCCTTCCCTGTTGCCATGATACTGCTTTCATCTTGGCCCCTGCTGATATCTATGGCAGCTTGAAGTTGTCTTTAGTTGATATGGTGCTTTTACTTTCTGCTCAGTAAGCTCATTCTTAGACTTATTGGCGGTAGAATCAGATGCCTAGTGGGTGGCGATGGTTCTGAACCTACTAGGTATTCTAAGCTAGTTAGATCTATTTGCTTTTCTCCAGTCCCTAGATACTGCCTTTCAAAGTCCATCAGTTTGGGAGAGCAAGAGATTCCAGTTCTTTGGGACCCAGCTCTCCCCTTATATTTGCAAATCTCTGAACCTCTCTCCAGTTTGAAGACTGAAGAGCAGCTAACCAGTGGTGGTAATGGACATGATGTGGTGAAGGGAGAGAGAAAGATGTCTTTCTGTGCCACTACACAACCCAAGCCCTTCAGGTAGTGTTTGTTTGTTGGTATTTTTAAACATGGATGTAATGTTTTCCCTGAACAACATCTAATAGGAAGGGGGGGTTGCATAGTCAAGCAGAAGAATGAAAGCAATCTTACATACTATGCAGATTCTCAGTCATCCAAGTCATGGTTGTTGTTGTTGTTGTTGTTGTTGTTGTTGTTGTTATTATTATTATTATTATTATTATTATTATTATTATTATTATTATTTGAATTTATATACCGCCCTTCTCCCCGAAGGGACTCAGGGCGGTGAACAGCTGAAAATTAAAATAACATACAATATAAAAGTTAAGATAACTAAAAAATAAATTAAATTAATCAACCCCCCAATTTAAAACCCCAAGCTATACATTTAAAAACTAACCCATAAAACCTATTCAGGCCAGGCCGGCTTGCTGAAATAAAAACGTCTTCAGGGCCTTACGGAAAGTGCGGAGATCCGGGATCAGTCGTATTCCGGGAGGTAGCTCGTTCCAGAGGGCGGGTGCTCCCACAGAGAAGGCTCTCCACCTGGGGGCTGCCAGCCGACATTGCTTGACCGATGGCACCCTGAGAAGGCCCTCTCTGTGAGAGCGTATTGGCTGGTGGGAAGTTATCGGTAGCAGAAGGCGGTCTCGTAAATACCCTGGCCCTAAGCCATGGAGCGCTTTAAACTTTCAGCGCTGAAGAAACTTCTTGGATGAGAAGCGAAAAGACTTCAAAGAAAAACCAGAAAGTCCAGCTGCCTCTTGGAAAAAGCACCTCTGGGACAGTTTTACATACACACATATCCCTCACATGCTGCTCAGACTGATCCAGATCTCAACTAGTGAGATAATGAGGCTCCTCTTCCCTTTCACTTCTCCCTTTTTCCAGTTGGGTGGGGAAGCAGGTGAGAGGTGTGTGATGAGAGATGGTTGAATACATGAGTCTGGTCCTTCCATCTGTCAAAACAACCAATCATCACAGAAGTACCATAACTGATGGATTTGCACTGGTTGGTGACACTGAAAGTGTGCATGGATGAAAGGCTCTCTTGCATGAGAAATGAGGCCACCATCCTTCAGCTGTAAGTCAAAACAGAAGCAGTTGCAATTAGCAAGGGTGACAATAAAATCTATCCTAGTTTAATTTCTAAACAGACCAAAGAATTCAATTACCCACATCTCTCTCTCTCTCTCCAACATCAACATTGCACACATTCTCTCTCAGAATAATATTTCATGTGTCTGATGAAATTAACTGGTAGTACATAAAATGCCATAATATTTATCTTTAAGATATTTCTTGCACAAGAATGTGTGAACAATGTTTCCTTTCTGGGAACTGAAAGTGTCATTGGCACTTTCTATCTGAATTTACAATCTCAAAGTCAAAAGACTAGAGTCCAAAAACTCTAATTTAAATCAGGTTTCAGGGGAAATCTGCATACCATTGTATACAAATTGTACACATTTATTTCCTCCCTCATTCTTTTCTTAACTTGTTAAGCATTTTCCCAGTCAGAAGGTTGAAAGTTCAATCCTAGGCAGCAACAGATGTTTCTCTATCAAGGCACAAAGATAAAATATCTGTTGCAAATGCCACATACGCATCAGGAAGAGCATCCAGCCAGTAAATACTTGGCTCCATTCAGCTGCCCCAACTCCATCCTGAAGCAAGGGATTACAACAGGGGTGAAATCCAGCAGGTTCTGACAGGTTCTGGAGAACTGGTAGCAGAAATTTTGAGTAGTTTGGAGAACTGGCAAATACGACCTCTGGCTGGCCCCAGAGTGGGGTGGGAATGGAGATTTTGCAATATCCTTTCCCCAGAAGTAGGAAGGGAATGGGGATTTTTCAGTATCCTTCCCCTGGAGTGGGGAAGGAATGGAGATTTTTCAGTATCCTTCCCCTGGAGTGGGGTGGGAATGGAGATTTTGCAGTATCCTTTTTTTTTCTTTTAATTTATATGCCGCCCTTCTCCAAAGACTCAGGGCGGCTTACAATGCATTAAGCAATAGCCTTCATACTTTTGTATATTTATACAAAGTCATCTTATTGCCCCCACAATCTGGGTCCTCATTTCACCTACCTTTGAAAGGATGGAAGGCTGAGTCAACCTTGCGCCTGGTGAAATTTGAACTTGCAGTAATTGCAAGCAGCAGATGTTAATAACAGTGCTTAGTCCACTGTACTACAGGCTCTTCCCCTGGAGTGGGGAGAGAATGGAGATTTTGCAGTATGCCTCCCCTCCATGCCCACCAAGCCATGCCCACAGAACTGGTAGTAAAAAAAATTAGATTTCACCACTGGATTACAAGATCATAAAAAGATTTACCAAAAATAAGACCCTGTCTTATATTTTTTTGAACCCTGAAATAAGCACATGGCCTTATTTTTGGGGAGTCTTATTATTTTGGGGCACATGGAGGAAACCAGAGGAAATGGCGGGAACCGGCTGCGCATGCGTTTAAATATTTTTGGGGAGGGCCTATTTTCAGGGAGGGGCTTATTTTAGTGCATGCACTCAAAAGCCCGATTGGGTTTATTATCAGGGAATGTCTTATTTTCAGGGAAACAGTGCAATACTACAGGCTACTTCTGCTGACTGCAATTTGGCAGTTCAAATCTCACCAGGCTCAAGGTTGACTCAGCCTTCCATCCTTCCGAAGTGGGTAAAATGAAAACCCAAATTGTTGGGGGCAATAGATTGACTCTGTAAAACCGCTTAGAGAGGGCTGTAAAGCACTGTAAAGTGGTATATAAGTCTAAGTGCTATTGCTATTGCTATACGTATACATACACACACCATACACACACACACACACCTCTAATGATTTTTCCTTCACTTTTTTTTTGTTCTTATGATAGAAAGATGGTAGATAGTTTGGCTTTCTGAAATCAAATGAATAACATCATCCCATTACATCCAGTGGTGGGATTCAGCCAGTTCGCACCACTTCGGGAGAACCGGTTGTTAACTTTCTCGGCAGTTTGGAGAACTAGCTGTTAGAAGAAATCATTAGGGCAGAGAACCAGATGTTAAATTATTTGAATCCCACCACTGATTCCATCTAATTATAGGACTAGCCCATATAATCACTACTTCTGTGCTAAAACAACCTAGACAGGCATGAAGACAAAGCATATAACTTGTTACTTCTTTCTGAAATTCCTCTCTGATATTTGATTCAACTGTGGGGATGAACATGAAAAATGAATAAGTATGCTGTCTACTCTATTCCTATTGATGCAGAACTGATACAAAGGAATATTCTTCATTACTCTTTCTGGGTGGGGGGAAAATGATCAAAACCATCCATCTGTACAGTCTGTGAAACTTGGAATGAGTTGAACTTCTGTCTTAGCCATACATTCCAGACTGCAGAGCAAATACTGTTTTCTGGAATATTCTAGTTTACGAACAAGCAATTGTCAGCTGGTGAGTGGAATATGCAAGATGCTGCAGAAGTGTCTGCACTAATAAGACATAGAAATTTATGCCCAAGTGAGCAACTGTTTCAAAAGAGCATCGGAGCTGTTCCTTGGCACCATCTCCTGTTGGTGAATGAACCATGAGACACTCGATGCGCGTTTGACTGAATTAATTTTCCCAAACAAACATGCTATTAAGCAAACGTGTAGAAATATTTAGAAGACTGGAAAGAATGGATGGAAAGCAGGATTTGCCATCTATCTATCTATCTATCTATCTATCTATCTATCTATCTATCTATCTATCTATCTATCTATCTATCTTTAATGGTTTTGAGACATTTTACTTATTAGTGGAGGAATTAGTGATTTATAACTATGCTTCCAAATGAAAGAAACCACCCTTCTCTTCCAGTCTCATCAGAACAATACTCAGTGGTAGATAAGGTTAAAAGTTGGCATTTGTCTTAAAATGTTCCAGTAAGGTATAAAAAAAATAGATAGAAATGATTTATTCCATTCTTAATCAGTAGCGGAGCATAATAGCTATGTGAGGGTGGGGGGCAATAAGGAGTTTGTTCCTTGCCACATCACAAATCATATAATGCCATGGCAACGTTGGCATGCAAGTTAACATTCCAGATATCTGAAATAAATAGCTGCCTATTTACTTATCACTAAGCCAGATACATTTTCAGGAAATTAACTCTTGCCATCAACAAGGAGAGATGACAATTCTTGAAGCAGGGGAAACACATTGCTTACAATACTGTTTTTGAAACAATGGATCAATATAGAAAAGGGTGCCATATGCCCTTTTCCCTCAATATAAGCATTTGGTTTTCCAGCTGTGGCAATAATTTGGAATGATTCCTGAAGTCCAGAAAACAGTAAATTTAGAAAGTAAATGAACAAGAATCTTATTCAAGTGACGAATTTAGGTAAGATTGTCCTGCCATTATCTTGCTTCAAGATTGACTCAGCCTTCCATCTTTCCGAGGTGGGTAAAATGAGGACCCAGATTGTTGGGGGCAATATGCTGACTCTGTAAGCCACTTAGAGAGGGCTGTAAAGCAGGGGTGAAATCCAGCAGGTTCTGACAGGTTCTGGAGAACCGGTAGAGGAAATTTTGAGTAGTTCAAAGAACCAGCAAATACCACCTCTGGCTATCCCAGAGTGGGATGGGAATGGAGATTTTTCAAAATCCTTCCTCCAGGAGTGGGGAGGGATTTTGGGGATTTTGCAGTATCCTTCCCCTGGAGTGGGGTGGGAATGGAGATTTTGCAGTATCCTTCCCCTGCCATGCCCACCAAGCCACACCACTCCCACCAAGCCACGCCCACAGAACCAGTAGTAAAAGAAAATTGGATTTCACCACTGCTGTAAAACACTATGAAGTGGTATATAAGTCTAAGTGTTATTGCTATTGCTATTGCTTGATCAGAAAAGCATATATTTGGCTTTCTGTTTTAGTACCCTTCTTTTTTTTTCTAGTATAAATTATTTATTCATATTTTTTAAAAAAATGACCCCCCCCCCCCCAAAAAAATCACCTCGTATCCAACCTGATCTGATTCAGTTCTGGGAGGTGCAACTGTGATTATTTGGAGTTGCAATCCTACCGTGGTCCATATGTGGAGACAGCTGTTCTGAACTCATCTTTCCCATTTGACTGGCACCAACAATATCTGCAGATCAGGATACGGGTGTGAAAGAATTGACCTTTCTTTCAGGGTAACAATACTGGATGTACTTGCAGTCTGCCAACTTCATTGCTAGCACATTCCTCAAGTGTGATCTTTTGCCGATGGAGCATACTCGAGGAAAAGGTTTTCTAGAAAGAGATTTCTGATAGAATAATCAATCCTGTAATGCTAGTAATTGCAAATTGTTCCAATAATCACTTTGTATGTAAATTGGCACATTATTATAATGTGAATGTCATGGCAAAGCTCTGCATAACAATGGAAGACATTAGTATCAGTATAAATTCAGTTATAATTAGTTTAATGGGGCATCTATCATTCTGGAAATTTAGATAAATGGATGGTTAAAAGATTTGCTGCATGTGCTACTTTTTCTTTGCATGTACGACATTCTCTCATTCAGCCTAAATTGCTGTGTGGCACCGATGTCAGCAATAAATGGTTCCAAAAAATAAAGAAGAAGAGGCATAGAAATTAGAACATCCCGCAATAAACAATCTGAAACAATTTTGCTATTTATCTTCAACATTAGGACCATTAAAAATTGAAGCAGTGCTGTGATTCAATTTGCTTTTTCTCAGAAATATTGATCCTCATTTTCCACTAAGGAGACCTTTTGGACTGCAGCTCTGCATGGAAAATTAATTTGCATAATGTTTTTCATATATATAAGCTTACTTGCTGAAGGGTGAATCTTTGCCTGATAATATTATGGCCTCCTTTCCTGTCAATTTCTAAGGTATTACGTACATTATAATTGGAACACGACGGCACAAAACATGCAGAGCCTCACAGCATCCCAAGATAAATTAATGGCAGCAGTGATCTTAAAGAACATTTGAAATTGTCCTCACCTTTCTATAAGAATGTAAATTGCAGGTTTTTATAATTAAGTGGAGAGAATAAATGTGATGCCAAAAAAAGAGCATACCTTTTTAGATAGAAATATTCCACTTATGGATGCAGAGATTTTGATGTATCTTGCTGGTTAGTTAAAATGAATGTCTAGGGGGGAAAACATGGCCAACCTGCTCTTTAGTGCAGCTCAGCCGAAAGGATGCGCTTTGTAAACCTATTTGGCAGGATAAGAAAATGCCCTTTCCTGGTGTTATTTTCAACAAATGATTTCAGCAGAGTCTGAAAGTATCTGTACAGAACGATGTTCTACCCATTGGTTTGCAGTAGTAAGTGATGTTCGCAGGGTATCCACAGTGTTGTGTCCTGCTGGCAGCCAGCAGAGCTGGCAGTGGAGTCAGACAGTGAGGAGGTTGGGGAGGAACATGGGCCAGTCCTGGGGGCTGAGGAAAGCTCGGACGAGGGTCCTAGGGGCTGGGGAAAGCTTGGAGGCAGAGGGGGAGCTAGACAGCAGTGAGGCAGAGGAACAGCAGGAGTCCGTTCCCAGTGTGCGCATGCACAGAGCTGCCAGAAAACAAGAACAACTCAGAAAGAAGGGTCAACTTGGGAGTAAAGCCACACCTTGGAAATGATTGGCCCCTCCCATAGGAAATAAAAGAGGAGTGAATGGGGAGGGGGCTTTTGCAGGAAACAATTTGTTCATTCAGTAGTTTCAAGAGTGGAAAGTTCTGTTCGTGACTCTAAGAGACATTGTGCCAAGTTTTGCCTTACTCTGCATTTAGAAACAAGTTACGTGGTAGTTTGCCAAGTGAGATAAGGTGTGTTGAGAAATATTCCTTTGAAAAACTGTTTGGACAAACCTTGTGGATTGTGAATGAAAGTAATTTACAGTCATGTAAATAAAAGAGGTTTTGCCAGGACCAATTCCTGCTTCCTGCTTTTTAAGGTCAGAATACACATCCACCAAAGTCAAAAAGTTAAGATTGAAGCTCTTCCTGGTTTTTATGTATGTCACACATAATCAGACTGTATTGTCATGGACAGCATCTTGACTTTTTTTTTTTTACCATATTTTGTGGATATCCCTGGATATTAGTATGTAACCATATGATTTAATTAAAGCTGTAATATTAACCTGCACACTCCTGCACACTCCATGAATTAAAGTCTGACTGGGATTGAACAAATTCTGTACATATCTGTCTAAAATATATGTCTATTGTGTACAATTTGCCTAGGATATACCGTATTTTTCAGAGTATAGGACGCACCGGAGAATAAGACTCACCTTAGTTTTTGGGGAGGAAAATAAGAAAAAAGCTGATTGGCAGGTGGATCGGCCTCCTGGAATACCCCCAATCAGCTGTTCTCAGAGGTGAATTTAAGCAACAGGTTCCTTGGTTGTGAGCTCTGTGCCTTGCTTTTTTTCGCTTTTTTTCCTGCCTCTGAAAGTCTCCGAAACAGAGCTTCAGAAAAAAAGCCTCTGAAGCTCTGTTTGGCGGCTTCTTTTCTGAAGCTCTGTTTGGGGGCTTCTTTTCTGAAGCTTTTTTTCTGATTTTCAGAAAAATCAGCCTCTGAAACCTCCATTTGAAAACCTGGGTGAGGCTACATTCGGAGTATAAGACGTACCCAGATTTTCACCCTCTTTTTTGGGGGAAAAAGGTGTGTCTTATACTTCAAAAAATATGGCACATCTCTTTATGTGTATTGTATACACACACAGAGAGAGACATAATGATATCTTAGAGTACATGTGTGTTTGCATGTCACTTTTAAGTAATTATTTAAAGAAAGTTAGAGAAGTGCAGATTTAACCTAAAGTTAACAGTCCTCTAATGAACTCATTTGCAAATGTGGGCCAGTTGTGGGAATTTTCTGACAGCCATGGTTATAAATTATTTTGGGCAGGATCATGGTGTGATGATGGAAATCATGAAGAATTCTCTAAAAAGAGAAACCGTTTGGAACCAGCTTAAGTTATGGACATTGAAACTCTTATTTGAAATTAATATTTACATAACATAATATGAATATGAATATTTATCTATCATAATACAGAATTGCATAGTTCAAGTGACAGAAGCATTAAGCCAACCACCAACCTTTCGGGCACCAGGAACCAGTTCTGTGGAGAGAGGTATTTCCACAAACTGGAGAGGGCATGGTTTCACATGCTGCCTGCGTCCCATGGATGGGATGGGCTTCACTTGTCTGATTTCTGGCATGCTGCAGCCCAATGCCGGACCACGGACCAAGGGTTGCGACCCCTGCATTAAGCTATTGTCTCTGATGCCTTTCTGTTTTACCTCTCTCTGTTTTTTCCCAACCATGCTTTTTTCGATCATTGGTGATCCAGATCCAGAACTGCAATTCTAAATGTATTCACCATGAAAACACTATGTAGGCATGTAACCTACAGGCATGTATGCCTTTCAGGATATAACATCTCTTTTCCATCTCCTCCTCCTCTGTCTCCTTGTTCCAGCCTAACTATGAAAAATATTAGGACTCTGTAAAAATGCCTTTCTTCCGTGTCAAGGTATCACCTTAGTCTGAACAGACATCAGAATTTAACCTAATTCAAGATGAAACACAAAGTTGAAACACAAAGTTTCGGAGGAAGGAAGGAAGGAAGGAAGGAAGGAAGGAAGGAAGGAAGGAAGGAAGGAAGGAAGGAACTGAAAATCTCATTGTCATTTCTTCAGTTGGTATAATTTTGTACCATTGTCATCCTCTATGACCTCAGACAAACAAAACTGGAAAAAAAGAACGGTATTCTTTGACCATAAAAAAGGAGCAGCGGACTAAAGTGCTGTTAAGTAGCACTTAGCTGCCAGCTGCCTGCAATTACTGCAAGTTCAAATCTCACCAGGCTCAAGGTTGACTCAGCCTTCCATCCTTCCGAGGTAGGTAAAATGAGGACCCGGATTGTGGGGGCAATAAGCTGACTTTGTATAAAAAGAACACCGCTTAGGGGCCCCCGAAAGCCCTACTAAACAGATGTATACAAAAGTATGAAGGCTGTTGCTTAACACATTGTAAGCCACCCTGAGTCTCTGGAGAAGGGCGGCCTATAAATCAAACCAATAATAAAATAATAATAAACCTGGTGAATCACAGTAAACGAGCAATAAAATTGTTATTATCAGATCTGGATATAGCATGGTGCTAATGAGGAATTCTGAAAATTGTATTTTATAAGGGAGGAGGGTTCCCTCAATTGTACCTGATTCTTGGAGATTGTCTGGACAAGTCCCTGTCGTTTTCTTGGCAAGGTTTTTCAGAATAAGTTTGCCATTGTCTTCTTTCTAGGATGATAGACAATGACTAACACAAGGTCACCCACTTGGCCCAAGATGAGACTAGAACTCACAGTCTCCTGGTTTTTAGCCTGATACAATACACCAAACTGGCTCTCATTTTAATAAGCTTAGAAGTTTAGGTACAACTTCTCCACCCCAAAAATATAAATATTTGAGCTTTCTTCAGTACTTTCTTCCCAAGGATTGTACTGTGCCTACAAATGTATAATAGAATATCATCAGCCTAGATTTTAATCAATGCTTTCAATAACTCAAGTTGTTTTTCCCTGCACACAAAACAGTACCTTCTACTTGAATCTTCTGTGTAACGTTCAGTAGCCATAGCAATAAGACCAAGAGAAAGGTGCAATCCTGTTTAGCTCCCTGATGTAATTAAATTGGTTTCAAAATGCCTGACTTCCTGCAAATTCTAGCTGCTAATCTGGTGTATAACTGCACACGTTCAAGCTCTTGGGGTCTAAATTTAATTTCAGAGATACTCCTATAGAATCTAATACTAGGAAAGAAGGAAATAGTGCTTCATGATGACAATATTACTTGAAAAATCTACTACCTTTATTATTTTTTAAATGTGGCATATATTTAAGAGCCAAGCTGCACAATCAAATCACATCTTGTACAGACCATTCTTATAGTGTCTAATTGATTGTTGATTACTTTGTGCGCATTGGTCATGGCACTGAATTTGAACAGGAATAGGTATCTATATAATTACATTAATCTACTACCACCCCACAAGAAACAGATTTTTCAGAATTCGTCACAAAGTTTTTTAATCTATGTTTAAGTCCAAATGTCTGTTATTACACTCAGACACTGAGAACTCAATGTTTGAGGTTTAGTTGATTTCAAAACTTCGTCATCACTAGAGATTGTATACTTTTTTAATGGATCTTGCAACTGTGGAGACACATCTGTGATAATAGGTAGACTGTTTAGAATGGCTGCTTAGTTTGATCTCTACTTGATATTCCTTATGCACTTTCAGTGGCTGTTGGGTTACCTGGTAATATAATTGGCAGTATATATTTAATCTTGCTGCTTAGGAAAACTGAATTAGGAAGGGTCACTTCTTTCCAGACGTCTTCCAAATAATCTTATGTCATCTTCCCCAAAGAATAGTTTTAAATCTTCTTAATGTCCATTGCATCCGGAGATGTATTTGTGAGCCATAAATTTTTCTGGCAAATGGATTTGAAATTTATCTTTGGAATATATGCGTCTTCATCTTTTTTGTGTCTTAGACTATAATATAGTCCTTTTTAATACCCTTGCTTCTTCAGAAAATCTCATTTGCTTAGATGACATTTTGCAAATACTGTAGCTGCCTCCAAATCACTCAATTCCTTTCAGTCTCTCCCTGAAAATGAGAGAGATCAGCAGTTCATAAACGTAATAAATAAATAAAATAAAATATAGATAGCCTTCGACTTACAACAGTTCATTTAGTGACTGTTCAAAGTTACAATGGCACTGAAAAAAGTGACTTATGATCATTTTTCACACTTATGACCATTGCAGCATCTCCATGGCCACATGAACAAAATTTGGATGCTTGGCAGCTGGTTCATATTTATGACGGTTGTACTGTCCTGATCATACGGCCAGCTTTTGCTACTTTCTGACGAGCAAAGTCAATGGGGAAGCCAGATTTTTTTAACAACCATGTCACTAACTTAATAAGTGTAATGATTCACTTAACAACTATGGCAAGAAAAGTTGCAAAATTCATTTAACTTAGAACAGAAATTTTGGGCTCAATTGTGGTTGTAAATTGAGGACTACGTAGTGTTTTGGCCAGGTGATTCATCAACTGGCCAAATCAAGCATTGCAGTCTTATATAGTGATGAACATGATAATTTCTGACATACCCACTCAGTTCAGAAATTAATGGTATTCCTGTGTTAAACAACTGTAAATTATTATCTAAGGGCCTCTACATGGGGTACTTCATTAGTTTTAGTTTTAGTTTTAGTTTTCCAGTGAGCAATTTTCTCAACCAGACTTCAAACCTGTAAACTAACTTTCTTCCAATATTCACTTATGGAAGTTCTTCACACTGTATCTCATAGTATGACAGGTTCCCCTTCCCCCCCAAAATGCAATTTTTAAAACAGAAATCCATGTGCTACATGTAATATAAAAGTATAAAAACCATTCAGCTCAACATTAAGAAGCCAAGTCTTCTTTCTTTTACAAGATCTGAGAAAGAAATTTTTCACTTTTTCAGTTTGCAAATAACCTATGGACTATTTGGGAGCTGGGGATGAGGCACTTCTACTTCAAAAACAAAAACACAGAGAAAAACAATGACACAGTGGATTTATTTAAAAAAGAAAAAAGAATCCCGCACACGAACAGTAGGTGGCTGAGAGAAAGAAAAACAGTAGTCAAAATAAGGTCCTAACTGGCTTTGATCCAGAAATCTATTTATAAAACAATGCTAAAATCATTGTGCTATTATAGCTTTCCCAACAGCACTATTCAATTCAGAGGATGCTGAAGTCTCTACAAGGCAGTCAGTCCTGCAACAACTGAAGTATGGAACTTGACATGTACAAGAGCATTTGAGGGCCCATAACATGGAAAAATCCGCTTTGGAAATGAAGCAGAAAATTGCATCTAGAGATCACTTTTAAGGTGAGTGGAGGAACGACAAAGGGAAACATTATCCCTTTGTGCTCTCCAAAAATGGTTGCTGGCCAGATCCAGTGATGGGGCAACTGGACAGTGCAGCTAAACCATCAACTAAAAAAAGGACTAACTTTTATATTCAAAGTACTGCAGCAATATATTCTGAGAACTTCAAAAAACATACAGTATCTGATGCATAAGTACTCAGAGAAGTGCTACATTCATACCCTACCCATTTCAGGTCACTCTTTGACTGGATCCTACTGGTCATGTTAGTGCATTAACTGTTAACATTATAAATAGCTTCCCAATCAAACTAGTCTTAAAACCAATGAAGTGCAAAGCGAAGGGCAAAAGAAAAAAATCATTGCAAGTCTCCTGCCATCATAAATTGTGTAAAACCCTGAGTTCTATTTTACAAGCAAATGGAGGTTTGATCTTGGTGCGCCACTGGGCATGAGGCCAATTTCCTAATTTACTGCTGTCTCACAGTATTCAGTAATTATTTGTAAGTAATAAAAACTCACAGGTTCAAAATTCATAAGTATTATAAAGGCCTTTCTGGGAACAAACATTTCTATAATTTTTTAATCATCACTCTTTCATGACTGTATCCAAAATCAATATTATTTTCCTCATTATTAAGTGGGACAAAAAACTAAAATAACAAATTAATACTCCGTTACATATTTGAATGCCAAGTTTTCATTGGCAATCTATCAGTGCGGATATGAATTTGAAAGCTCAACATAATTCTTAAAGAACAGTCTTATTTATGAAGCTAAATTATTCCGCAGCTTTGCTAAGCATAGCAATATGGCATTATTCTGGTAATGGTGGCGAGAATCCTTATTCTATTAGGAAGATCCATAACAAAGAGGAAATCAAGGGAATTTCAGGCAATAACAATCACAAAACAGTCCAGAAAGTTTTGTTTTCCTTCAAGAAATATCAAAGAGTCAATCCTATATTACTTTCTCTTACAGTGTCATCATGTAACTACTGCAGAGTGAAATTCATTGGTCTGTCCCTGAACACACGTAAATATAACACTTGGATAAAAATAGTACCAATAAATAATCTTCAGCCAGAAACCAACAATGTAAAGAAGAAAACGTGTAGCAAATAGTGCACAATTGCATTTAATATAAAGAAGGTAGCAAACAATCAAAGAAGTCTCACCACTCGAGGATATGATTTCTGAAGTAATAAGGCATCTTCACCAATACAGTGTTTGTACGTATGGATAAATAGATACACATACATTCAGAATATATATTTTTTCAGAATGTATATTATACGAGTTAGCAACAGAGGCAGCTGCTGTGTTCTTGTTGAAGGATAAATTAACTCCTTCATTTACATCTTGCCTGACTAGGTGGCTCAGTGGCTAAGACACTGAGCTTGTCAGTCAGAAAGGTCGGCAGTTCGGCAGTTCGAATCTCTAGTACAGGTCTCCTGCGTGAGCAGGGGGTTGGACTAGATGACCTCCAAGGTCCCTTCCAACACTGCTACTGTTAACTTCTTCTACTACAGTGTAAGTCAAAGTCCATCCAGCCCTGGCAAAATTAGAGGAAAAAAATACATTAGTGGGAAGATGAGGGAATGAATGGAGGGACTTTACTAAGACTGATAAAAGAGAATATTTGTAACTCAGGGTTAAACGGAGGGATCCTGGATGCTCCCTGAGCATTGGAGGTTTTCTTGCAGACATTTCATTACCAGACTAAGTAACATCCTCAGTGCAGGGATGATGTTACTAAGTTTGATAATGAAACACCTGAACGAAAACTACCAAGCTAGGAAAACACCAAGGAGATCCCACTTTACAGACCAGAGATTCCTCATGTCTGCTCCTGCTTAAAGACCAAGTATGAACTTTCTTTAGTAAACTTTCTGTTTACTGAAGTTTCTCTAGGGGTTAAAAGGGATTTTCCTTACTTGCAGATAGCTAAAAGGCTGGTTATTAGGTAATATCCTTAACAATTATATTCTTTAAAAATGGCATCTTTCCTCTACTGTTGCCTTTTGAGATGAATTATTACTTTCCCGTTTAAGAAATAATTTTTTGTTCAGCTTTTTATTCTTTTGTGGCAAATAATAAAATCTTGACCATTCAAACAACAACCCTTTCTTAAAGCAAAACAGTTCCGTACTTTTCATTTTTGCTACCTCCCTTTTTTACCTTCCGTTTTATGACCCAGCCATTCTTAGAAAAAAGCCAAAGTGACCCTCTGAATGAGTGGGAATAATGAAAAGAAGGCTGTTTTGTAGCTCGTGGTATTCCTTTTAGAAGAAAAGAAAATTGAGCTGAATGGCCTCCATGTGAGCCATTTTTTTAAAAAAATGCACTTGGAGGATATTCCAAAGATAGGAATAGCCATGGAAAAGGTAATCTTTCTAGGTGTCACTAGAGGGCACTATTTCAAGTAAGAAATGAGGACCACACCTATCCTATCTGATCTAGTGAGATAGGCAGGTACCCTCAGGGAGAGGAGATCCTATAAATAGCCTGATGTCTCAAGAAATCTTGTCAAGAAAACTGCAACAACTAGTCCAGGTAGGGGCTATGAATCAACCTTGAGGTGAAGGCACACATCCTCGCCTACAAAAATTATAGTTGTTATTTTTTTTAAAAAAAACCCTGCTGATCATATTTGCAACTCATGTCAAAATAGCGAAGAATCAGAGTTTGAGAGCCAGTTTCACAGAATGTGATGATATATGTTTGTTAAGAATTTAATAATAGACACCCAAGAATCACAAGGTAGCATTTTGTTTGGTGCATAGGCTAAGCAATATAAAAATACACACATGTCCCAAAAGGTTTTTTTTTAAAAAGTAAGAAATTGACCACTCCTTGAAATTAATGGGGATAGCAGGACATTTTTTAGGGGTGAGAGGCTTGTAACCAGAAGGCCCCATATTTTCTAATTCTCTGCATCCTGTCTTTAAAAGACCAATTAAGTCAACACACACCATATAGTTTGGCCCTGACTGGCTTGAAAGGACACTTCAAGTCAATGCTTTTCTTTAAGAAAAAATGCTGAATCGGCATTTGTCTCTGAGGTACAAGGGGAGTAACCATTTTATTTAGTTTTAGATTTAAAAAAAAGGCTTCTGCGCTAATGCAGGGGCCCTTTTGGTGGATCAGAATATCTCCCCACCTGGGCAAGCTGACTCAATTGGATCTTCAACAGAACACGTCAAGGTAGAGTAGCTTAATATAACAAGTCAAAGAAGTCTCAATAGGAGAGCTGTTTTATCCAGGCCTTCTAAATAAGGTTTAGCCCTAGCCAGGGAACGGGAAGTAGAAAAAGGGAAGGAGAGGAGGAAAGAAGAAAGTAGAAAGAGATGGCAGAAGGAAGGGAAGGGAAGAAGGAGAGGAAACGTTGTTGTAAAATAAAGGAGAGGAAAGGGTAGAAGAGCAACTTAGAATATACTCTAATTTTTTTAGGATGAAGAATGAACTAAGAAAAAAGTCAAAAGATAATATGTATGATTAACGATGGATAGGAGATTGTACATTTAAGTATGTTTATGAGAAATAAACATAAAAAAGCTTTTTTAAAAAAGGTTTAGCCCCAGCCATGAATAGTACCATGTTTTAAATCCTCAACTGAATCAAAACGTTTTAACCCTGCCAAAAAAGTGTCCACAATATGATATAATTCCAAATTACTGCTATCATTTAGCTATCCCCACACATTAAAATATTTTATTTACTTATTTATTATTTATCTATTTATCAATTATATTTAAGAACCACCCATCTCCCTCAAAGAGAAAGTCTGGGCAATGTACAATAAATTATTAAAAATGTGAAAATATATGTAAAACTTTTTAAATTTAAAAGAGGCAAGGGATGTTGAGAATGGATGTTAAGAATTCATTAAAAGGCGGGGGGGGGGGCTTTCAGGGCACCAACCAACTCCACAGTTGCATGCTCATCTGTGCAACCCAAGCAAAGGTGCACACCTATGTTTTTACATTTTTTGGAAGGCCAGGAGAGAGGGGGCCCATCTCACTTTTGTAGGAGCATGTTCCACGGACACAGGCAATAGCAGAGAAGGCTCTTTCTTGGATCCCACCAGTTGGAATGCTTTGGCTGATGTGGTCCACAAACATGCCTTCCCTACCTGACCAGGTGGGACAGGCTGATGTAGTGGGATGAAGACCCGGGCCATGTAGGATTTCAAAGGTCATAACCAATACCTTGAATTGGATCTGGAGGCAAATCAGGACCCAATGCAGGTTGCACAACAGAGGTATTTCATGTGCCATTCTTTGGGTGTCCAAGATTGCTTGCACTACTACATTTTGTACCAGTTGAAGCTTCAGGATACTTTTCAAGAGCAGTCCCATGCAGGGCTTGCCATGTTATTAATCTATGCCACTCTTATGGCCTTTTCTAATATAATCTAACACTATTGATTCTTTTACAATTTTATGGCACAACAATTTGTTTATGCTTTGTTTGTGTGTTTAATATCATTCCCTAATATACTTGCAAGAAGTCAAGAAGAAAAAACATATTGTTAAAAGTAAAGAAGATAAAGGATTGGAAGATTGTTTGGGTAAAAATTTAAAGAGAAAAATGGAATAAGATGAAATATACTGTTTATAATTAAAAAGGTAAGAGGAATTTTGTGAAATATATTTGATAAATGAAAGATCGGGGTTGCCTGGACTCCATAGTGGAAAATATTAAATTGAAGATGAATACAGCAATAGAGAGAGATGAGGAGAAGAGATGTGGAAGGGAAAAGGAAGGAGAGAGAGGGAAAGAAGAGTAGGGACGAAGGAAGGGAAGGGAAATTAGAGTAGGAGAGAGGGGAAGAGAGGAGGGAAGAGAGGAGGAGAAGGAGAAGGGGAGGGGAAGTAGATAAGAGAAGAAGAGTTGGGGAAGAGAAAGTAGGAAAGAAAGAAAAGAGGGAGATGGTAGGTTGGAGGAGAAAGATTGCTGTACAATAAAAAAGATGAAATGGAAGAAAGGCAACCCCGAACAAACACAAATATACTAAGATAAAGAATGAATTGTTAAAGAATAAAAGGGAATAAATATGAATAAACAGTAAAATTAGAATTTAAGGGACGAATGAAGATACTGTTTATATAAGTAAGCAAAGAAATATTGAGATATGATTAAAAAAAAGGGAAAAAAGAAAATTGTGGCAAAAATTGTAATTCAGTAAAATGTATTTGAATTTGATAAATTGTATAAGATAAGATATGGCCAATGCTCTGTTTAAAAAAGATGTGGGTGAATGTGGGGGAAAAAACCAATAAAATTTGATTAAAAAAAAAATCATTCCCTAATCACAGGACAACAATGTTGCCAAGGTTTTATAACAAAAATGTATTATGTGCAAATATTATCGCAATACACTACAGTTCTATTAAAGTCATTTTTTGTGGTTTGCTCATAATATTTTATTCCTCGTAGATATTTTTTTATCTACCTCTACCTTTAAATAAAAGTGTTTCATTTATATAGGGCAAAATTTCATTTTCACTGAGAAGGTTGCTCTTCCACCACTGAGCTGTAGGTTAGATTCCGTGGCTTAAATGGAATGGCTTAAACTCTGTAATTCTATCAATTAAAATATTGTTGGATATATGTTTGTATGTGCAATTATTTCATATGAAACTGTGTAATAGCCCCAGCATTAGAACTGCATGGCAACTACACATTACATAAAACATAATGCTCTTGCTCCAGAGTATTCTTGTAATCGAACATCTGACTGAGTTTCCCATCACTGTAATCTCATTTGTGCTAGACTGGATTTTTGGGGTTGCTATCCATCAATATCTACAGGGTGTCTGAAGCAGTGTTGCACTTCTGTGTCAAGTAGGTTAGAATTAAAAGAAAAAAAAAGGAACATGGGCCATTGAGCACAAATGTCACATATCTCTGAAACATGATGCATATCTCTTTAAAACAGCATTTCTTCTGGATATTTTTCAGGGAGGTGCAGGGAACTGTGCTCAAATGTGCCATTCATTTAAATAAGTTAACATGCATTTTCTAGGGGTTTTTTTTTTTAAAGCCACTTCTATAGTAAGTGCAGATAAGAAGCATTCCAAGGCTATCATCTGTCCCTCTGCTGAGACAAAGCCCACTATAACAAGAAATCTTTGTCTCTAGAGGATCTGCTTCTAGGCAGCT